GGAGGGGTAGGTGGGGCAGGTATAGGTAGAAGTTCCCACCCCACTGGCTGGTCTCATACTTCGTCTCTCCCCTTCCCCCTAGTTCCGCCATGTACCTAGAAAATATTTGCCTCTCTTGTATCATGCAAGATTTAAATGAAAACTATTAGGAATCCTGAATTCTTGTTTCCCTTTTGAGCAAATCATTTAATTTCTCTGCTCTGTAAAATGAAGCTATTGAGACTGACTTAGATCTAACTTTTGAAATTCCATATTGCTATGAAGTCCCTTAGTCCTGTGAAGCAATTTAAGCATATTTCCTCAGTGGATTATAGAGTAATCACCATCATATGTAAAGAATAGCTGGTATAGTGAGAGATACAAGTGATAGAATTTTTTTTCAGAGTGTAATGCATTGCCAGATTATTTATACAGTTAGCATGCATTGTTATACATATACCTTTTAATGTCTTTTATAATCAAAGGACTTAAAGTAAGAAATTTCCACTTAGGAAAAACAAGATATGCCCCCTACCCACAAAAATGCTCAAAACAGTCTGAAAACCATAGGTGGTAGCAGAAAACAGCCAGCTGTCAGCCTGCTGCTCTGCCACTGCAGTGATGAAATCATCCTTGTGTTCCAAAATTCCAGTTTTAAGACTCTCAACATAAATATCCATTATCATGTGGTGGTATATATTCAAATAAATGAGTTCCTATGTCAACCCTTGAATTTCGTAAGTGATTTTCAACTTATTTCTAAAATCAGTGGGCATAGTTTTTTTTTTTTTTTAACTTGAGCAGTGATGGAAAAAGCATAATCATTCTTAAGAGAACTTATTTCCATCCCACCTCCTGCCCGTAAGCAGCAACAACAAAAACAAAACCAAGAGAATGTGGTTCTGCATATCCTACCAGCTTTATTATCTCTGAGGAGGAAGCACTGGCTCTTATGTCTGCTGGGGATACATAAGTAATCATTTTCTTACTCAATTGTTAGGGAATATCCACCTATCACTTCAGATCAACAAAGACAACTCTACAAGAGAAATTTTGACACTGGCCTGCAGGAGTACAAGAGCTTACAAGCAGAGCTTGATGAGGTCAATAAAGAACTCTCCCGTCTAGACAAAGAACTGGATGACTATAGAGAAGAAAGTGAAGAGTACATGGTAAATTCAAGCCTGATAATTCTATGTGACTTAGAATTTTATTCTAATCTATGGAGACACAGTATCCTTTATACTAATGTTGATACAAATTTTGCTAGTTATTATCAAACTAAGTTCACTGAGCAATTGAAATCGTCTTACAGTCTTTTCAAATTGAAGAGTGTATTAATGTATGTACTTAAGAATTACAAAGCAGTAGTCTATGTACATAAATAAATCCCTTCCTATTTAAAAGAAAATAGCTACATTACTTTTTCTACTTATAAACACAATTCATTCTTTCTAGAAAAAATTCAAACAATACAGAAAAATCAATTGCCTTAAGTTTTGTTATCGAAATATTGTTGTTAAAATATCCCCTCCATGCAGACATGCACCTAGGCACACAAAATCTTGGATGAAGAATCATCTTATATGTTTTACTTATATCCTTCCTGTTTTTCTACTCAATAGTAGTTTATGGTTTGTTGTTGTTTTTCTTGATCTTTTGGCTGGGGTAGTGTTGGTCCATGTAAAGTTACTCTTTTCCTTTGTATTCCCCCTTTCTATATTATACTCTCTGGAAAGAAGTCACTATGCATAGATTACACTTAGGGAATTGGGAATTATGCACCAGCTCTTTAAAGGCAGTATACCTTACACAGATTATTCGGCATTCATCTGCATGGGAAACTTGTTAGTTCCTCCCATGTATTTAATCATTTATATCAGTATAGACCCATGGATGTCTGTTTTATACTTTGGGTTATAATCCAACACTACTTAAGTTTTGTTGCTTCAGGTGCTTTAGCTTGAACTGTTGGGAACTCTTTCTGTTGCCTCCTTTGTTTCTGTGACATAGCCCCATTTTTGTGAAGGATTTTTTAAATACTTCCTGGCACTGCTTATAGCCTGCTTTTCTATTCAACAGTAGTTTATGGTAATTGTTTCATATCAATAATAAAGATATACTCACTGAGAAAATATTTTATGTGTTAAAAAAATAACTCCACAATTTGCAATATTGTGGTTGTACCATAATTTACTCAAGGGTCATCCTCTATGAATAGACATTTAGGTATGTCTCCTTTATACCACACATACACTCTGCCCCTGCTGGTAATACACTGGTGAATGTCTCCATCCTTGCACGCTTACCTGCTTAGCTGATAGAACAAAATCCAGAATTAGAAGGTGCTGAGTCAGAGGTTATGTACACTTAAACTTTTGTTGCAAAACTGCCCTCCAGAAAGATTATATCAGCTGTATTCCCACCAGTAATGCTCTAGAGGGCTCCTTTGAACCACATCTCACTAACATTTTCGTGCCTGAAAAATTATTGCCTCATGTTTTAGATACTAGTATTTAAACTTTTAAAAAAACCACATTATATATTTATTTGAATTTCATACTCATTTCATGAAAGACCTTTGCCATTTTTAATTGGGGTGACCTGCTTTTCAGCTTTGAAGTATTTGCTTCTCACATAGTTTGATTGATTTGTTTTTTTCTTTTATGGCTTCTGAATGGTATCATAAACCTTTCTCAATTCAGTGAATGTTTATTCATTGTTACTGTGTCCTTGATGTGGAAATGCTGTGATTAGAACGACAGATTACATTTCTGCCCGTGAAGAACTCCTGTTCAGAGAGAAACTGACACCTAAGCAACTTAGACAATGTGACTAAAGCTATAATTACATTATGTAAAGAAAGTCCTGTAACTGTTCAGAAAAGGAGTAAAGTCTGCTGGAGGTCTGGAGAGTTTAGGGGCAGCTTCATTGAAAGGTAACCATCAGAAATTCTCCAGATAGTAGGGGAGATCATAAATACAGATATATGGGGAACATGTTGGAAATCTGGAGGCATTAATGTGTTTAATTTTTTAAGGAATTGCCAATAATGGACACTGAGACTGGAAAGGTAGGAGACTAGATTAGCAGAGAAGTTGATGGGGCGCTCAGACCAGTTTTACAATGGGATGTAACCTGATCAGAGCCGTGCTTTACGAGAAACCCCTCTGGGGTCCATGTGGCATGTGGACTGGTGTGGGGAGAGATGAGAGGCAGCAGAACAAATAGGTACCTACCTGTGTGAATGGGACGTGAGAAGTATGTTAATGTCATAAATTTCCCAGAACTGGCTTCCTTCAGGCCCTTCTGCTGACTGTAATAGTTTTGAGAACTTTTAAGAATTCATTATTTTAATCCCCTGTATTTTTGTCATAAGCTGGCATTTTTAACTCCAAAATATAACATCAGGAGTGTTGTTTTTGAAAGAGAAAATGCCCACTAAACGTATTCCTTTGTTTCTCATTAACAGGCTGCTGCTGATGAATACAATAGACTGAAGCAAGTGAAGGGAGTAAGTGTCCTGGGTTGTAAGATGCTTTTAGGGAGAACTTTCCTATAATGTGTTTTTCATTTAACCTTTAGAATGAATACCTAGGAATACCTTGTTGTACATGCACTGATTAGAGACAAAAGGCCCTATAATTGCAAGATGAAAACTGTAAGAAGTTGGAACCTTAAATTCAGTTGTTTGCAGATACAACCAACCCTGATTTAAAAAAAAAAAATTTTTTTTCAGCACCTAGCTTAACCCCTGCCATCCCATGCTCCTGGGCACTCCAGGCCGAGGGATCTCAGTTGGCCTAGAGTTACGGGCCTCACCTTTGCGCCACCCCCACCCTCCATGGAAGGGGCTGCCGGGCACAGCTGCTGTGAGTCCACATCCTCGTGTGTGTCTGTCCACACTTTTTAGGCGCCATGCCAAAGGCCAGCCCTCTGGCCCCAACACCTATTTTGGAAGTCCCCCGTGGCCGTGTGTATGTCAGTAACAGTTGTACAAAATAAATTCTATTTATCACTATTGTAAAAAAAAAAATTTTTTTTAGGTTGAAGTATACGTACAGAAAAATGCACCAATCGGAAGTGTACAGCTTGGTAAATTTTCACAAAGCAACCAAACCCCTTTGTGCCTGACACTCCACTAAAGAAATACATTTCCTAGTACCCCTTGTGTGCTTGTCCGGTTTTTACCCTCATCCCAGGGGTGACCACCACCTTAAGTTCTAACACCATAGATTAGTATTGCCTATTTTGAACTTTATGTAAATAGAACCATACAGTATGTATTTTGTGTGTAATTTCTTTAGCTCAGTACTGTTTGTGAGATCCATTCATGTATTAGCATGAAGCAGTGGTTCATTTCTTAAGTGTCTGTGCACATGGGCACATATTTGTTAGGTATATACGTAAGAGTGAAATCGCAGGGCTGTTGAGCGAGTAGGGATCCAGCGCTGGGTATGGACTGTCAGCAGCATTGCTGGTTTGTGCCAGTTTACATTTTCACCAAGCAGTGTAGATGCCTGTTGCTCCATATCCTTGCCAACACTGGGCATCAGTCTTTGTTGACTTAAAACATTTTTGTTTTTAAAAGATTTTATATTAATTTTTTTAATTGCAAAACATCAAGATTTTGAGTTCAAGAGTTTAAAAGCATATACAGTAAAATTTCCTGTCTCATTCCCCATTTACCCAGTTTTCTTGAGTCAGCCCAGATCACCAGTTTCTTGTTTTACTGATTTTTTTTTTTTTAGGTCATGTGTTAGCAAAAAGGCCAATAAATTTTCTTGGTGATTTTACACATCATTAAAATTGAGTTTATTGTTTGTAAAACTCAGGTTAGAGGTGAGATGGAGCAAAGAGAATCAGCTGCCCATGTAGTTAGAGATACTGCCAGAGGCCTATTATGTTATTTCATCCAACACTCCCAGCAATTCTCTATGACTATTACTCCCTGTGTTTTTGTTCACCTCTGCCTTCCCAGCAGCTAATACATAACTCATTTTTACTTTCAAATTTACCCAATGTTTTTTTTCTCTTTTTAGTCTGCGGATTACAAAAGTAAGAGAAATTATTGCAAGCAACTGAAGAGCAAATTGTCACACATTAAGAAGATGGTTGGAGATTACGACCGACAGAAAACATAGAAGGCAGACGCCACATGGTTTGAGAGATGAAGTATGTAACTGACATCTATGCTGTGTTGTCAGGAATCAAGTGACTTTGGACTCTAACCCAGGAGGCCAAGCCTTTGTGATCATTACAGAGTTTTGGTAGCTTTAATATCATCAGTATTAAAGCATTCTATAAATAGCTTTTGGTAATCAACTGGGCTGCATACTCCAAATAAGGATTTTTATACTTTAAACATTGGTTCTTGTATTAAGAACAAAAATGTTGAGGTCTTTAACCCTTTCAGGAAGGTCCCAGAGTGAACCGTGCTGTGAACTTTCACACCCCAGCCAATCAGGTATTAATACCTAAGTGTGCTTATTGGGTCTCAATAGTTTAATCCTCCCAGAATTCCCCCTTTAGATAACTGTTATTTATAATCATTTCTTTTCAGATAAGGAAACTGGGCCCCTGCAATTAAGTCTCTGCAGTGAAACTGCTTGTTTCCGGGCTTGCAGTTTTGGTTAAGTCTGTTTTATGACTCCAAGGATAAAGTCCTTGGCCTTTTCATATTTTAGTTTCTATGGATACTGCATTCTGCCAGCCTCCTTGGTGATTTTTTTTTTCTGTGTGTAAGTGCTTAAGAGCTTTTTATTTCACGTTATCCTGGTAATAAAGATCATGTAAAAGTAACAAATGTGTGAAATTTGAAGACTGTAAATATATGTTTACTTTTTAAAAATCAAAGTTTAAACCTACTGGGTTAGAATTTTGTTGTATATTTTTTAATGCTTTTTATCTTTTATGGTTTACATACTTTTTTTTAAACCAACTAGTCTTTTCCATTATGTCAAAGTATCCCATTACATTTATAATTCAATTGTGACTTGAATTATATCTTACGGGAATGTTCAAGTTCTGTACATATTTTATAATTATTAAACCTGTTGTTTTCTTTCCATAATGTACCTTCTTGACGTCATTAGTGCTGTTAATATTAAGCTGTGGAAAACTACATTCAGAAGTTGTATCTGTTATTGTTTTAAACTATTTTGGGTGCTGTGCTGGTTGGTAGTTTCCTAAATCCTTTGGCTAACAGAAGACTGATTTGTCTGGAAATGTAATGCAATATCATAAAACACCAAATTATTTCAAAGGGTGCCCTTAAATCTGAGCACATTTTTTTCAATTCAGATTTTTACTGGTCAAGTAAAATTAGCTGATAATACTGGGAATATAGCTAACCAAGTTGATTGTGATTATCCCCTCAGTTTAGAACTCTTTTTCTGAAAAATTTTTTAAGAAAAAGTTTTAAATTAATCTTTAGTATGCAATTCAGACGTTTAAGTATATAATTTTTAATATACAAGTCTGAATCATTTTCCAAAGATAAATGCTTAAATCAGGTTTCCATTATAACACTGATTCATTTCTTTAGGTTGAAGAAATTCTTAATTTTCTATGGCTGTACATACTTACTACAAAAGTAGTAAATAGTTTATACTTTTCATGCCTTTCGGATTCACAGGAAATGGTAAGGATTCTATTGAACAACCTAAGTGATTTTTATATGTGTTAAAATTTAAACTCTTTGTTCTTGGAAGTCAACATGCTTAGTTTACGAAGGCAAGTTTGCCAGTGTTCCAAAAAAAGTAAAACCATTCACCTGAATGTAGAAAATCAAATAGCACACGTTTTCATTGTAAAATTGTGCCATAAAATTGGACTTGGAAATTTTTTTAAAAATCATTTTTCAAATATGATACACTAAAGACCACTGCAGAAACCAGGATCAGGGTGTTTTTGTTAGGATTGGCGTTAAGCAGCAGGATATAACTTTGAAAAACCACTCGGGCAGTTTTCTAATCTGGAAAATCAAGGTTTAGATTAAATTTGGGAGGTCTTCCCATCTCTGACCTTTTGTGCTCATGTTTGCTTTCTGCTTTCTGCTATAAACCATTATTCCAAAGATTTTGTTGTGAGAGCATGCGGTCGATCTGATGAAGGTTCGCCGCATAAAGTGATTCCCTTACACGTGTATTTCTGTATTAAAAGTAAGAAAGATCAATATTTTAATTTGTCTTATTTTGAAAATTTAAAGAAATACAAAAAACTATAAACATGTAAACTCACCACCCAGAAATAACAGGTGTTAATATTTTGTCATATATGCTTTGTATTTTTTTGAAATAAATTTAAGTCTGTAAGTATAGTAAAAGTTACATTGCATACACGTACATGAAATCTCATTTAATCCCTACAACAATCTATTGACATAACTTTCTCATTTTCATTTTGCAGATGAGAAACCTAATGATTTGATAGATTAATTAGTCCATTGTCTTATTAGCAAGTGACTAAACTAGGGTTGGAATGGTCTGTTGCAATATCGGTGTCTCTACTCCCATTCTAGGCTGACTTTGTTAATAAATTAATGAGTTGGACAAAGTGGGATTGCTCTGTCTGCTGTTAACAAAATAATCCTATTATAATTTTTAGCGCATTTTAAGTACAGTGGGCCCTTGAAAAATTTAGGTTTAAACTGCATAAGTCTACTTAGATGTGGATTTTTTTTCACTTAACTTGTACTATAATACTACATGACCCACAGGTGCAGCGTGCCCTCTGTAATGTTGTATGTGGATTTTTGACTGCTAGGAGAGTCAGTGCCACTAACCCTCTCCTTGTTCAAGGGCTAACTACTTTTGGTTAACATAAAGTGCTTCATATGGAATATATGAAGTATCTGTGAAGGCCTGAATGGGTATGCAGGTGTAAAGAAGGGTCAGGGCTGAAGAGTACTTTAATCATGGCTCCAGGGCCCTTAGCTTCAGTTGGGGTAGAAGCAGACATTCTCCCAGCTTCAGCACTGGGATGGAAGTGTCTCCCCTCCTGACATTTTCAAAGGCTCATCTGGGAGAATCAGAATTCAGTCTCTTGGCAGCTCATGGTTCTACTACACTATACCATGTCTCTTCTTATGTGAAAAGACGAGTAAGTTAAATGGAGGACTACATCATCCCTCACGTGTTTCATGTTAACATTTCTTCTAGTGGTGATAGTTATCACAAAAATGCCGAAGTAACTTGGGCAGTATTTAGAAAATGTGTTAAAATAATGTGACTTGGGAGTTAGAAAAATAACATGGACACACAACCATGTTTTTTTGTGACAGCAACAAAATGTGGAACCAGGTCCCCAAAATTCTGGTTGCTGCCACAGGACCCACTTGCTTTTCCTGCACATGTTGTCCCATTGATTTGCCCTCCAGCAATTACTTGCTGTGTGACCTTGGACAAATTACTTAGCCTTCCTGTACCTCAGTTTGCTTATATGTAAGAAAGATATTTGTACCTCGTCTCATGGTCGTGATGAAGGTAGTTTTGTCAGAAAGCAGTAACTGGCCAGTGACACCTATTTCCCAGAGCCAAACAGTGAGACTTTAAACAAGTTTTTAGAAAGCAAATTGGGTTCTAAAAGTACATGTAGTGTCCTAATCCTATATGCTCGGTGTATGCTGGGTGCAGCTTTACTGTGTAAATTCTTTTGAATTTTAGGCAGATAACTGCATTAGGCTTGGCATTGTGATTTTTTTAGAGATGATGAGCAAGGACTTTAAGAGATAGTACAGAGTTTATATATCAAAATAAAGATTATCAGATACTGTTATAAGCAATTCTGGAGGTTTTAATGAGTCTCTCGAATGATTGAGAATGTTATCACAATTGGCAGGTTCACCTTACACAGTCTCTGGAGTTGTACACTTTGAATTTCAGCTTGATTCCACTGGCTGAGCTGTTCATGAACTTCCGAACTCCATGGATTGTGTCCAGCCACCCATGGGCAGAGAACAGATTGTTCCGTTCTTTTATAGTTGTTCCTTAGTTTTACAAGTTGAAACATTTGGCTAGGTTAGATCATTGTACACAATTAAAATACTGTGTCATAATTATGGCAAAAGATTACCATGGATTTATGCATGTTTTGTTTTGCCTTAGTACCATTCCTACTTCAGTCAAGATCTGTGACTGAAGTAAATTCAAGGGAGAGTAAACTTTACAGGTGGGAAAAGCTTGAATGATTCAGCCTCCTGAAGCACAAATATGCTTTAATTTAAATTTATTGGAGAGTCCTCTGTCCTTTTCCTGGTTTTTCATAAAGCCTTCCTGGACAGATGTATAGTAAATATAAATGAGAAACGTGGGGCTTGGGGTTTTGGTTATTTGTCCTAAAGGTATGTATCCCATCTTGGAATAGTATGGCCAGTTACGACAGAAGGAGAGAAAAGTGTGGAGTTTTTGGAAAGAAGGAAAAAGTGGAGTTTGTGTATGAGTCCTGGTAAAGCAGTCAAAGATCGAGGAGGAGTGGCAAAGACAGAAGCCAACCAGTACTGGACATAAGCAATGCTAATTTTCCAGCCTCTTTTTAAAGACAATACCAGAACTAAACAATAAGACCTTGTCTTCTGGGAGGAAATAAAAAGAGCTGGTTATGCAGTTGCCACTAGTTAATATGTAAGCCCTATAGGATAGGTGGGAATATCTTCATTTTATAGATCAGACTTGGGTTGTGACTTGCTTGAGGTCACCAAGCTAGTGTGGCTGAGCCTGATTTTTCTTTCAAGCCTGCTCTTTCTACTACTATGTAGAATGGTTTCTGTTTATGCTTTCAAGGGGGCAGAATACATGCAAAGATTTTGGTACCAGCAAAGTAATATAGACAACATATGGTGATGGGGAAGCAAAGAGACGCCAGCTCCTGCAATTCCTTTTTCCTTTTCCTTTCCTGGGCATAACCCTGTTCTGATGATCTGGGGGTAACTTGTCTCTCCATTTCTCATTCCATATGTATTAGCAGGCATCTCAAACAACTTGTCTAAAATTGAACTGATCTTACCACCCCCTCCCATCCTCTCAGTAATTGCAACTTCAACCTTTCAGTTGCTCAGCTAAAAACTTTGGAGTCATTGGACTTTTTTTCATAAAATACATGCAGCATATTTACAAGATTGAGAATCCAACCACTTCTCACTAGCTGCACTGCCATACTTCACTAGTCCAAGCTATCATCATGCCTCTAAAGTTCTTACAATGCTTAGAGCCCACCACTTCTGATTTCAGCAGCCGCTACTCATCCCCTGCTTCCCTATGCCATCCCTCACACCAACGTGCTTCTACCCCAGGGCCTTTGCACTTGCAGCTCCCTATCCCTGGAGAGATCTTTACATAGTTGTCAGCAAGATGAACTCCCTCCCTCACTCTGGTCAGGGTTTACCTGTCTCCTAGATGAGGGCTCCTCCGACCACGCTATTTTAAACTGCAACTCTTCTCCCCTGCGGTGCTTAATTTTTCTCTATGGCACGATCATTTGATACAGTATTTTTTCCTTGATAATTGTCATGAGAGCAAGGGTTTTGTCAGTTTTGCATTACTATTTCCTCAGTTCTTAGAACTGTATCAGTCCAAAGTAGATGCTCAATAAATATTTGTCGCATGAATGGCAGGAGCCTCAGAAGAGTCTCGGAAAACTGTTAACACAGCAAGTTGGGTCAGAGGACGCCGCAGCTGTGGTCACTCCTTAATGCCAACCTTTGAGAAAAAATAAAATCAAGTCCTCAGATCCCGGAGGGACGGCCTCTCACTTTCCAAGACCGAATGGCTACCACTCTTCCCGCCTCTCTGTGAACAGCTGGAAGGCAGCAGGAGGTCCTTCCCTGCACCCTAAATCAGTTCCAATGTTGCCACGGCCTCCGGGTAGGGGGCTCCCGGAGCTGCTGCGCACAGCAGCCGGAACCTTTCTGCGTCTCCGCCGCGCGCGGCGGAAGGACTTCGGCGGAGCTCTAAGAGCAGCTTGAGCGGGACTTCCGGCAGAGCGGCGTCAGGCAGGACCGGTGAGTCCGCGGTAGAGTTCTGCTCGGAGCCAAGACGGGGACCCACTGCCTGGGAAGCATGGCGGCGGGAGGGGTTGTCGCGGCCAGGATCGGAGGCCGAATGGCCCCGATCGGCGTCGTAGGGAATGAGAATGTGATGGAACGAGGATGTGATGGAACGTGTGGAGGGGGAGGAAGACAATTTCCGTTTAGGGAGCTGCATAGAAGCATCTGGGGCTGCAGTCTGGCGAGTGGTTCTCCTTCCCTAAGCAGAGCGCGGGTTTGGGGAATTGTGGTCCTGGATTATAGTTTGTGACCAGCCTCCAGCTTTGTGGCCTCAAGAGAGTTACCAGCCTTTGGACCTTGAGTGCCACACCTGAAAAGCAGGGCTGTTATCACCTTTGCTTGTCCACAGCGCTTGGCAGGATGAGCTGCGAGGGAAAGCTTCGTAAATTGCAATGTTTGGTGCAGATCTCATTTGTTTGCATGTAGCAGTATGAACTCAGGGGAAGGAATCACACCACCAGGCTTCACCTGGGGGAAGAGGCTTTTCTGGAGTTGGATTCCCAGGAAACGAATCAGTGATATTTGTAAGAAGATGGAATATTGGGCAGCCATAGGCAGTTGAAGATGCTGACCAAAGAGGTCACCAAATACATCTTCCTCCAGGCTACATAAATCCCTTCTCTGTTAACAGCCTGCATTGTAAACATCCAGCTTCCCTTTGAACACCTGCAGTTACGGGAATCTTAATACCTCTGTCTCTGTAATTTCCCACTGCAAGCAGCTCTAATTAAGAAGTCCTTATATGCAATGAACCAGAGGCGTTCTCCCTTGTAGTTTCTGCCCAAATTAGTTCTCACTTTATTTCTGAACTTTCAGAGAATTAAAAATAATAAACTAAACATACAGTATGGCTTAAGTACTGATGTGAAGGATAGCAGTAGCCACGTTTTTAAGAATTTGAGTTTAAAAACATTGAGAACATAATGTAAGCTTCTGATTCTTGACATTCACAATAAATACAAAAACACTCACAGGAACATCAAAATATTCAATTTAGTGACTATATGCTATGTTGCTGCACTCATCATTAAACTTACAAGGCACCAACATAGTGTGCTGATGTAGCTCAGAATTAAATCAGTTTTTGTTATTTCAGAATACTAAAATGGGTCCCCAGATCTCCTGAAACAAGTGAATCTCTCCCAGCACCAGGGAGTGGTTTGTTAATTCAGTGAGAGACACACAGAACTTCAGCAAATAATATCTGATTCTCGCAGGTGCCAGAGAAAGCTGTGATGCCATAAAAGCAGTCTCCAACTTCTCAGTAGATTTTAATTCCAGAAGTTCATTTATAGGCCGGTTATTTGGATTTTTAAATATATTTTTCTATAGAAACAGTGAAATAAGTGGTGGCTGAAGTCTTCGTTATAGTCCTCAACACAAAAATTAATCATTGCCCCTGCCAATGATAGGATTTGTTTTGTCCTTAACGTTTTGGCACTTAGGATTCCTTCGTTTATGGAAGAAGTTGAGAGTGAGAATGTGGGATGGGGAGAGAGATTCCATTGGAGAGGGTGGAAATGTGGTTGTGATGGAGATGTTTATTACTTGGTTATGATTAATAGATTCTTCCCAATTTTATCTCCAGCTATTAAAGGAATACATATTCGTATTGAAAATATGAAAATACAGAAAAGAATAAAGAAGCAAAAAACCGATCATCCTTAATCCTGTTCTCCAGTTGAAACTATTTGTCCTATTTATTGAATTACTAAATATTTCGTTTTTCTTTTAATAGTTGAGGGTATAATGTAGGTTTAATATTGTGTTATCTTTTTGAATCATGAGTCATAAGCATTGTCATTTATGAGTATAATAAATTTCATTTAAAAACTTGATTATGAGAAAATTCACACATACTCAAAGGTGGAGAGGTAAAACAATGAGTCACTTTGTGTCTGTCACTCAACTATAATAATCAATTGTGCTGAATCTCATCATCTGCACCTGTACCCGCTTCCCATAATTCTATGGTCCTGTCCTATGACACATCCTTAATACATTTTTGCTTTTTTTAATATTGTAAAGAGATGCTTATTTCATTTGGCGCCCAATTTGAGCATAAATATTCATATTCTTTCTTGGGGATGGGAAAGAGTTCCATGAGGACTTTTTTTAAAAATTTTATCTTGCTCCTGTTTCCTTTTTCATTCTTTCTTTTTTTTTTTTTTTAACTGAAGTATAGCTAGTTTACAGTGTTTGCTCAGGACCCTTTTTAATGCCGGCCTCCAGCTCCACCTTGTGTTTCTGTCCCCATATGCCCATCCCCAGGCAACCAAGAATCTAATTTCTAGCTCTGTAGATTATTTTGAATTTTCTAGAATTTTACATATATAGATTTGCACAGTGTGTACTCTTTAAAATCGGCTTCTTTCACTTAGTATAACTTTTGAGAGTCATCCACATTGTTGCATGTATCGGAGGCTCAGTCCTTTTATTGTGGAATGTTATTCCATTATATAGATTATATGCCACAGTATTTTATTCATTCACTCTTGATGGGCATTTGAGTTGTTTGAAGCTTGGGGCTATTACAGATAAAGTTGCTAAGAATATTCATAGGCAAATGTATGGACATAGACTTTCATTTTTCTAGAGTAAATACCTAAAAGAAGAATAGCTAGATCATATACTAGCCACATGTTTAAAGTTTTAAGAAAAACTGCTGAATTGTTTTCCAAACTTGTGCCCGTTTACATTCCCACCAGCAGGGTATGAGAGTTCAGTTGCTCCATATCCCTGAAGCACTTGATATGGTCAGCCTTTTTAATTTTGGCTGTCCTAATAGATGAGCAGCAGTATCTCATTGTGGTTTTATTTTATTTATTTATTTTAATTGAAGTATAGTCAGCTTACAGTGTGTCAATTTCTGGTGTACAGCATAATGTTTCAGTCATACATATCCATACATATATTTGTTTTCACATTCGTTTTCATTATAGGTTACTGCAAGATATTGAATATAGGTCCCTGTGCTATACAGAAGAAACTTATTGTGTATCTATTTTATATATACTAGTTAATATTTGCAAATCTCAAACTTCTGAGGATTTTAAAGTATTTTCATTTAACTACAATTATTGAAAAAATTGCAAAGAATAAGATAACTGCATTCTGGGTTTTTTTACTTTGCATGTTTACTTCTCTTTACTTTTAAATTTTAGTTATATGCATTTGGTGACAAACATCTTCAGTAAACTCATAATCTAATGATTTTTTGCAGAATATTGAGTAACACAGTAAGAAAAAATGGATGAAGAGCCTGAAAGAACTAAGCGATGGGAAGGAGGCTATGAAAGAACATGGTAAATAGGGCATTTTACTCTCCCTTCTCTTTTAGACATTTTTTTACAACTTTATTTTTTTTTACAACTTTATTGAAGTATGTTTTACACATGTTAAAATTTACCTGTTTCCTATGTATAATTCAGTGATTTTTAGAAAATTTACTCAGTTGTGCACTCATCAACATAAATTAGTTTTAGAACATTTTCAGCACCCCAGTAGGATCCCCCATGCCCATTTACGTTAATTCCATTCCCACCTCCAGCCCTAGGCAACCATTAATCTATGTACTTACTGTTTCTAGGCTTTCCCTTTCTGGACGGTTCATGTAAATGTAATCATATAGTGTGTGGTCAGTTGTGTCTGACTTTTTTAACGAAACATACTATTTTCAAGTTCATCCCTGTTGTAACATGTAATTCATTCCTTTTTACTGCTGAATAGTATTCTGTTATATGGCTGTACCATGTTTTTATTCATCCATTCACCAGTTGATGGACATTTAGATTGTATACAGTTTTTAGCTGTTATGAATAACGCAGCTGTGAACATTCAGGTGCAAATCTTTGTGTGGACATGTTTTTGTTTCTCTTGGGTTAATGAATTCTTAGCTTATCTTTTCAAACAAGTAATTGTTACTTATAGGGAGATTCTTAAAGAAGATGAATCAGGATCACTTAAAGCTACAATAGAAGACATTCTCTTCAAAGCAAAGAGAAAAAGGTATGTAAACTTTTGTTTGTTACAAGGGGTAAAATATTTTCCTTTCAGCCTTTCTGTCCACCTGTGCCCACTCCTCAGTACTTCATTTTAGCTGTGTTTCAGGGAAACTGATCTGTAGCTTTCTAAAACAGGGGGCAGGAACCAGCAACCTGTGTCTCAGCAGGGAAATTGGTCTTCAGGGACTATCCAAACTGCCTATAATTATGTGCATCCCATAAGTTAATAATTTACTTCACTAAGAAAAATACAGGGTAATTGATAAATTGTAATGATTTTTCAGGTAGTATATGGTATTGCATTAAAATGTTTGCGTAATTTCAACAGGGTATTTGAGCACCATGGACAAGTTCGACTTGGAATGGTAAGTTATTCTTTTCTTCCTTTACTGGTACAGAACTAGTTTGGATTAGAGAGACATTCTGGCTTGATGGAATAAACAACAGTAAAACAACAAAGTTTTTAAGAGAATATATTAAAAATACATGTGTACACTATGAATACTAAATGCTATTTTTACTTCTTGGTCAACAATGTATCTGAAAATTGGTCTTATTTGTGTGGGTTTTTTGGTTTGTTTTTTGGTAGATGCGCCATCTTTATGTGGTAGTAGATGGATCAAGAACAATGGAAGACCAAGATTTAAAGCCGAATAGACTGACATGTACTTTAAAGGTATACTAAAATCATTCTAATTTATGCTAAATGTGAGGAAGGATGCTGAATTATAAAAGGAATTTTTTTTAAAGAATGCAATCTTTTTTTTAACTTAATACAAAGTATAACCAAGTAGATGTGCTACCAAATCATTTACAGAAATGATATACCAAAATAGCTCATTATTTATCCCCTGAATTTCTACCCTTATGCTCTATGTTAGGATCTTGCTTTGTCAATTATCCTTTTCCTTTATTGAATCTCCATTCTCCTTTGACTTACTTGAATCGATCTCCTCAGCTTACAAACACATTCAGAGTATTCCTAATTTATTAATACTCATCCTCAATACTGCTCATTCTCCTGTTTGTCTTTATTGGATCTGTTCCTTGTTTGGCTTGTTTCTGTCTTGCATGTCAGAATGGTTCCATATTTGAAGGCTTAGCTCAGACCTATCTCATCACTTACCATCTTAAATGCTGGTTTATTTAATATTCTCCTTTTTATTTATTTAATATTTTTACTACTGAACATTTTTAAAAAATTGGTAAGCTTGAAAATCATGAGAAGCAGTGGTTCGTAAGTAACTTTCACAAGTTGTTATTTTGCCCTTATCTAGTATTTCCTTATTGTTTTTTTTTAAACAGTTGCTGGAATACTTCGTAGAGGAATATTTTGATCAAAATCCTATTAGTCAGGTATGTAGATAAGTGATGGAATTTAGAATTCAAATCCTGATGTTATTGCCAAGTATAATTTATTTTTAAAACATTGGGCATATATTCTGTGAATTATTAAGTGATCCAATTGTGTACAAGTTTACTTATCAATAAAAAGAAAGACAACTCTAAAGTTAAAGTACAATGAATCCATTGCTAAATTTACGTCAAAAGTTTCTCACAGTAAAAAAAAAATTTCTCACATTATTTATTCCTTTTGTAATTACTAATTTATTATGTACATTCTTATCAAGAAGAAATAATTTGTTAAAGTAATAATCATTTTTGCTTTTATTTTGAGATTGGAATCATTGTAACAAAGGGTAAAAGAGCTGAAAAACTGACGGAACTCTCAGGTATGCATCAAATTACCTTTATAGCAGTCAAGGACTTGGCTTTATTTACCCAAGCTTGTAACCCTGTTCATAAGGTTGCCTAATAAGTAAAATGAAGCCTTCCTGCGTGCTCTCTAGGTAAAACACTTAAAAAAACCCCATTAAACTCTTGGTCTCTAAGATAACCTGTTTTAAACTAAGGGTTTTTTTTTTCACAGTAATACTATTCTTCAGCTTTTTTTTTTAATTGAAGTATAGTCAGTTTACCATGTGTGTCAATTTCTGATGTACAGCACAGTAGTTCAGTCATACATATATATATATTTGTTTTCATATTTTTTCATTAGAGGTTGCTACAAGATATTGAATATAGTTACCGGTGCTATACAGTATAAACTTGTTGTTTACCTATTTTATATATAATAGTTAGTATCTGCAAATCTGGAACTCCCAGTTTAATCCCTTCCCACTCCCTCCCCCCCCAGTAACCATAAGTTTGTTTTCTATGTCTGTGAGTTAAATTGAGTTTTGCACTGTGGTGACTAATATTACATGAATGTAAATGTGTTTATTCTTATCCTGAAAGTATCAAGATAAAATTATTGTAACCATTCAGAAGATCCACTTAGTCTTAAAATTAATTTTTTCTAAACTGAACCTCTAAAGAGCAAAGTATAAATATTGAATTGTAGTTGTTGTTAATGATTAGATTTTCTGCTTGCATGACATGGCTAACTGAATTTTAGTCTCATAAAAGATAATAATGTGGATTTCATTTGCGTTGGTATATGTGCTGTTACAAGTTTACATCACTAATTCTATTTTATTTTCTGTGAAATACTCTATTCCTTAAATGTGGTTCTCAACCTTTCATCCTCACCTTACAGGAGATTTACTTTCATCATTAGTAGTATTTCACTATGGCAGTAAGGAAATATGTGTTAGTCTGGGCTGATCCAACAAACTCAGTTAGGAGTAATAAAAAAAATCACAAGCTAGCTTAAAAGCCAAGGAGAAATTACTGACTCATGTTGAAAGGTGGGCTGACTTCACAAATCGTTGTTTCCAGGGGTCCTGGCTCTGTCTGGCTTCCTATTCTCTGATAGGTTTTCTGAGAGGTGAAAAGATGTCTATTAATAGCCCCAAATCTACATAGCCTTCCTAGTCTGTGGCTTCTGCACAAGTTCCAGAGAGGACTCTTATTAACCCTGATAATGATCTATCCCCTCCATGAGCAGTCAAAGTGGCAAGGGAATAAGGTGTTTAGTTGGTAGGCCTGGATTACATGTGCCTGGAGCAGGATGGAAGCAGGGTGAGTTCCACAGAACCACATGGTGTAACTGGATTATTATACAATGAGGGAAGGATGGTTCCCCTAAGGAAACAATGTAGGGCCAACCCTCTTGCACCCACCTCTCCGAATTAATAGTAGTGTTCTGTGGGTATCAGGGAAGCCATTTGCACAGAGATGAAAAATCCTCTGGAGATTCTTGTAGGCATCTTGAAGGTACCCTCTCTCCCTCTGGTTAGAATCAGTTATAAACCACACTGACAGTAATATAAGTATGCTTTTTCCCTATACTCACAACCCAATAGGAGATGAAAAAAATTTTTGTGTCATATGGTAGAAAGAAAAGTGGACAGAGGACCAGAAGATCGAGGTTTGAGTGCTGGTCCTGCCTGTGGGTAGGCATATTATGTCTTTGGGCAAGTCATTTAACTTGTTAGATTTGTTTCTCACTTATGAAATGAAGGATTTGGACTTACTGAGGTACTTTTCATTTGCAAAATTTTGTAATTCCAAGAATAAATACTTGCAATATACAGCTGACCCTCTGTGCACTTGAAAATCTCTGTATAACTTGACTGTGTTTCCACATCTGTGAATTACCAGCTACAGATCGTTTACCACTGTAGTATGTACTTAGTGAAAAAAAAACCTGCATATAAGTAGACCTGCATAGTTCAAACTCTTGTTGTCCAGGGGTCCACTGTATATTAAATATGGCAAATGGTTAATATTTTAAAATGTATGCAGATAAATAAGAACACTAAGAAGCTCCAAGTAGATGAATGGGCAAAGACAACAGCTAATTCATATACCAGAATAAAAAGAGAAACTAAGTAATTAAAAAGAATATTTAGCCAAACTAGTGAGCAGAAAAAAAAACAGTCCACTCAATGACATTTTATTATTTTATATATATTTAAGTGAGCAAAATGAAGTTTCAATAGTATATGCCTCACTGAACCATGGAGAAACTGGCACTAATAGTGCTGATAGTCTGGTTAATTTAACATTTTCTGGGAAAGAGCCATGAAAATGTTCCTTGGAATTATACTTAGGAATTGTTATGAAAGAAGAAGAAGCCTCACTGTACAAATACACTGTTTAACAGTGTGTAATAGTTTGATGAATTATGCTATATGATAAAATCAATGATGTTTTCATTATTGTTAATTAATAAGAGGACGATGTTAAAATAGGAAATATCTGAAGAATACCATATTTCATTGACTCTCAGATTCTGTCATTTGTAAGGTATCTTTATTTTATGAGCCATCAAGAAGGAAACACTCTAGCAGTTAACCTCTGACACAATGTCAAATGATGTGTGAGTTGTTCGTACCAGCTTCTT